CGTCGATCGCTTCGCTCTTCCCTGCTGTGACGTTGTTTGGTGTGTGTGTGGGCTTTGAATTTCAATTCTCCCTCCTCTGTTCCTAGTGCTGTGAAGGAATGCATCGAACGTTCTTCTCCCTCTTCCTTGTGCAGTGTCGCAGGCCTTTCTCCTCCTTCTCTGCTCACATCATCGCTGGTTCAAGGTAGGAGATCCAGTTCTTTTGCCCTCGCCGATTGTGTCTGCATGTGTATTATTTGGTTGGGGTTGCACTTAGTTGTTTCTTGTTGCTGAGCATGGCAGAGAGGATAGGTAGAGTTTGATCCAGTTGTAACTTTAATTTTTGATAGGAAATTATGCTTTAACCCCTTTGATTATTGTAAGAGGCAAGGGGTTTATGTGGGTAACCTTTTCATATTCGAACTGATTATTGTTAATAAAAAAAAATTGAGAAGTTTGATAAACCTGAAATTAACATAGGAAACTGTTAGAATGAGAGTTGATGAGAAATTAGTTTGGAATTGTAGTTTAGGTTTAATGTTTACAAGTTTTTAGATAAAATGTCTGTTAGGTAGAGTTTGCTGGAATATGTATTTTTCTGAATTTTCACTAACTCTTTTGATAAGCATGCTCGGTATGGGTTATTGATTCATTAACTTGAGATTTGAGGAAGAATTGATTATGAAGCTAACATGTGGCTAGCTAAGCTCTTGAGAGTTGTATGGTTGATAGATTATAAACCTTAGTGTTGTTCTATTATTTAATTTTGAGAAGCATGAAAGATGTTCGGTGAAATGGGTGATATAGGAGTTGGGGATCACTTGAGAGAGTAAATGTAGGGTGTGTGTGCGCATTTGGATATGCTTATAGGCACCTGATTAATGTTTAGCTACATAAGTCAGAGAAGGGTTGAGAAAACAAATTAAAATATAAGCAATTTGTTGGATGGGGAAGTAGGTATGTAAAGTATTGAAAGGACTGAAGAAATTAAGACTTGGTTAATTAAATTATAATGATTGAAACCAATTGATTATAGTATTTTCAATATTGGAAGACAACTTATTTAACTAAAGTATTATATTGAATAGGATGCTTAAAGGAAGAAGAGTTAATTGAAGTTCTAAGAAATGAATTCTACTACTTGAGCAAATTATAGGTAAGTGAATAGTGTCCCAAATAATTTATCAATTAATTTTTTCATTGAAATTTTATATTTTTATATAGATTATTTCAATAATAATTATATAATCAGTGGATACTTGTTAATTAAATTTCTTCAATTTTAAGTTATAAGACACTAATGAAGAATATTTACATCATGGCATATGAATGTTTTACCCCTTATGAGATATACTTTCAAGATTGATAAAATAATTTCACTAACGTTGCAATTTTTAATTATTCAATAAATGCAAATGAAATTTTATTCTAACAAGTTTTGATGCCTAAAAACTATTCATGCTAGTTTGATTTTAAGAATAGAAATTATATTTTAAAATTGGTGATTCTTTCACATGTTTGAAAATGGATTTGGGGGAGATTTTATACAGAACACTAGTTGCTAACAGTAGTTTCATTAGCCCTTAGCGTGTCCATGATCAATGACTCACTACTTTAATTTTCGCAAGCTTTGTTCTCATGTTTGTTATTCGTGGGTTTAATACTTGCATTTATTTTCATGGTTTCGAGCTGCATTTAGTTAGTATTATCCTCATGAACTGTGTGTCCACATTTATTTTGTAACTTAGGCTACATTTGGTTACTTACTCTCGTGAACTGTGTCTACGTTTGTGAATTATTCTAATAAATCCTTAAAAAATATGAATTTTTATTAATTTATGATTTCATGCTCTAATGATTTTTAATTAGTGAATGTCATTATTTTTATTTTTTTTGATTATTTAATCAATTTAACTCATCAAGATTAAATGTTAAAGTTGCATCATTATTAAAGATTTAAAGCTTATAATATTAACGTTGTATAGAAATTTTTATTCTAATTTATTAATTTTTATTATATCCAATTTTTTTCTCTTTAATTTTTGTAATTGTTGTAAATTATTCATTTTAATACTGCAAATTTTATAGTTTGGATATTATTCATTAAAAAGTATATGGTTTGGTCTCAGATAATATAGTTGACATTGTATCCCCTGCTGACCCTTGAGAGATTTTTTTTTTTTGGCTAAGTCAGGTGGAGATTCATGTTGTGAAAATTGCCTTTTGATGCAATTATGGAAATTTACATATTATATTTAAAAATATAATTAGATGCTCTACATTGATTACAAGCAGGTCTTGATTCACTTTATTATGTTGTTTATCTGTTGCTGAAGATCAGAGCTCCATATTGTTGAATGTTTATTGTAAAATTTATGTTGTAAAAATTTTGGGAGATCTTACTTATACGAAAAGTGCTGCCGAAATTTATATGAAATTTTGATTTAAGTGAAAGTAAAATCAGGTACATATAATCATGCTGATTGTGTTAGACATATTAATTCAAAACTTTCCTTAATCAAGGCTTTGAGGATGTGTGTTTGTGCACATATATTGTGCTGATCACTCTTATATTTCAGGATGTGGACATGTCAACACAAGACCAATAAGGAACAAAGAATAGTGATAGGAAAAAATTTTGATGACTTTATAACTCTCCCAACAGCAGAGATGTAACGACGAGAAGGAACACAGGCCAGCGGTGAGCAGTGACAACCGACGAGGAGGACCAGAGGAATGGGTCGATGAAAAGTAAGAAGAAAAAATGGGATACTTTATAATTCGAATGGTAGAGAAGAAAAATTTGAACAGAAGATAAATTGAAAAAATTACAAGAACGGGGACAAAATTTTTTTATAATTTAAACTAAAATAAAACTAAACTTTTGCTCTTAAAATTCAAACTCTTATCTTCAAGGAAGTTACTAGCATAAAATTAAACTATCACTCTCTACTTGTTACAAAACTAATTTAAATAAATATCAATTGGGAGAAAAAAATTTATTTAATTTAAAATTTAGAATTATTACAGGCAAAGTAGGGTATAAAACCAATTTATCATTATAAACATGCTCGTATAGTTAAACATATTTGATTAAATAAGTTCTCTAAATCACTTTTTAATCCATTCTACTTTAGTAAAATAGTTCATAATATTTCAAATATTACATCGCATTCGAAAGAACAACTTTGTTCCAATTTTCCTCCAAAGTGCAAATGTAAATATACTTTTCAAATATCATTTTCCAAAACACAACATAGCTCATACAAATGGATAATTATTTTTGGAAGCTCACACAGCATTTGAATACATATGCATGCATATGTCATAACAAGAATTAAACTCTGGTTACCTCAACCCTTCAAGAAATTAAAAGGATAAAAGGGCCAACCACGATATAACAGAAACACTTGGATATTCAAAATCCCAATTTGAAACCTACAGATCCCATGATAGAAACTAATACTACAATCAAGGTTCAATCCAAAGAAAGACATATAACACAAAACACAACCTTATCCTTCATCCAAATTTATATATTTGCAGGTGCTATAAATACCAGTTATCCATTCAATTTCAAAAGACCCATGCTTACATCAATTTCAACAATTCAAACCAATCTCACAGTTTATTTCCAAATAAGCTCTTTTCAGATTAAGAATCTTAAGTTCAAAATAATCAAACAAATAACATCTTTGTTACCTAAAGTTTCCAACTAAATGAATTTCTTATTTACATAACATCCCATTTGCTCCAACCAAAAATCCCTTAAAATTTTAGACATAAATACAAGAAAGAAAATAAAAAATCTGCAAAATGTTCAATTCAACAAAAATTTCTTTTTCGAAGAGGCTTAAAAATTGAAATCACCTTTTATATAGCTTACGGTTTGAGCAAATGAGACAAATTCAAAATTTTCACTGTCTAAATCCACATTAGAGGCAACAAAAATCTTAATCCGACCCCCAAAGCATATATCAACAACCAAACAACTCAACCATATCATATTTCCAACCTCAAGTTCGGATTCAAGAGAGAAGAGGAAAACAAACTGATGAATCATGAAGGAAATGGGAGTAGATTGGAGACGAAACTTTACATTGATGATTGGGAATGATTAGTTGCTTTGAAATAAACCAAAATTTCCCAAAATTTGAGCCCTGGCAGAGCCCCAATGTTTACCCTCAAAACCCTACACATTGGAAATGCTATATTTTCTTCTTTGAAAACTGACATTTCTCTTGGAATTTTGTCATGGAGTATTTCCATGAGAAATACCCCTTTTTCCCCTAGATTTTGGAAATTCATAATTTATTCCACCAACTTTCAAAATTATGAATCAGGGCCCTTTGGAAAGCTTATGATGTTGACTTTATAATGCAAAAGAAGAACTCAAAAATGTTATCATTTGACCATCTAAAATTAACAATTTCCAAGACTACTACTTTTTTTTTTTTGCAAAATTCCAAGACTTCTTCTAAAAGTCCCAAATATGATAAAGAAAATTTCCAATCCACCCACTCCTTAATTTTCTTAGTTATATATGTTTAGAGAATCTTCAACATTCTAAAACAAGTCTTCATTATGTGAGGTGTTACACTAGAATTTTGTCCTTTGTCTCATCATGTCACTATTCTAACTAGGATGTCCTGATAAAGTAGACAAAATGTGGAAGAGAGAGATTGATAATAACATTTATTAAATTACATAGCTTTCTAAGTCCAAAACTAAAACACACAAGTACATAAATTTAAGCATTGAATTACAACTACAATTTAAAGTGAAAGAACACAACAACAACCACAACTTAAAGTCAACACAACAACCACAAATGACCTCCAAGCTACAAGTATGACAACAATAGAATTTTCTCACGGATTTTGGCACAAGAATTTTTTCGGTAATGAAAGAGAATGATAACTAGATGGTCATCATTACATAATTTGTTCCTGAAGTTTATCAACATTCATGAGAACTCTTGCATTCACTTTGCTTCCCATCAGATTTAAACATTACATGATTTATTCAACTTTAGAAAGCACTGTAACCCGCTTGCGATATTCTGCTAGAGCCCAAAGTGGAAAAACATTTCTGTACATTGGATAATGGATCATGCAATTCCTGTTGAATACACCAGAGATTTCCTAAAAACAAGTCACACATAAACTAACATTTAATCTACCACTGATTGATTAATGTTATAAGTTTAGCAAATCATTGCAAATGAAGAAGTGAAAGGTACTAATTAATTAACTTGTTGTGGCCAATCCCCATTCTCCAATTGAGCATTGATTAAGACTCTTGCTCCTCGATGAAGAGGTGTTGGATCTCTCTCAACCTTCCAATAAATTTTGATTATTTTAGTCTTTTTTATAATTTTAAATTGAAAATAAGCATAAATCTGCTATTCACAATAAACAATTAAATAATCACCTGTCCAGCATACATTAAACTCATCATAGCCCATGCTGTCTGTACTACATTTGATCTATTACCTTCGAGGGGAACATATTTCTGCATCGTTTATAAAAATCATAAGAGGATGAGGTAACTAAAATTAAGGCCGTATAGCTATATATATATATATGCATGCATGCATCTCCGTGAATTATATAAAGTTTGGGAAATGAATGAGCAATAATACTCATATTTCTCTTTACTTACATAATGTGACTTCTTATAAATTGTATATTTTATATTGATATTATTAAGAAGGGGGAGTGATCACTCATTATATTAGTTATGGGTCTTTTTTATTTTATATTTGTTATTAAACCAATCTTATCCCACATCAATTTAAGTCCCTTGGACAACCTATCAATCTCTCCCCTTGGGCTCCGATACCACTTGTTAAGAATATGGAGTGCCCACATGAAAACAGAGAGAGGATAGATAGGGAAGAGTAAAAAAAAAAGGACTCCATATCTTAACTAAACATCTCAAGGTTCAAATTTATGCGTTCTTCTTCATTTTATATTAATTATTAAACCTAACTTTATCTCACATCAATTTAAATCTATTCACACTTGAACAGCCTAACAATCTCTCCTCCTTACTTATCTCTAATACCACTTGTTAAAAATGAGAAGCGACTACTTGAAAAGGGTGAGAGAAGTAATGGGCAAGAGTAATAGAAAAGACACCACATCTTAACTCAAAACCTTAGAGCTCGAGTATATGGATTGTACCTCTTTATTTTAATTATATTAGTTATTAAGTGCACCTTTATTTGATGTGGGACTTCCTACTCACATCAATTCAAGTGCACCTAAATTTGGATAATCTATAACAAATACTAAATTTATAATCATTAATTTACCTTTTTTGGACATGAAAGATAGCTCTCTCCCCATCCACCATCATCCTTTTGTGATGTGAGAAGAAAGTTCACAGCTTTGGGAATTGTAGCACAATTGCTGTAAGTCTTACCAGCAGCAGCAAGGCCATTTAATGCAAACCAAGTGCCATAAGTAAAGCAAACCCCCCAATTCCCATACCATGAACCATCCTCTGCTTGTGTATCTTCAATGAATCTCACAGCTTTCTCAATAGAATTCTCTATCTCTCTCCTCCTATGTTCTGGATGCAACTTATTGAATAAACTAAAGCTTGAATTGCTGATCCAGTGCATTCTACATATTCATGTTCAACCACAATGTCTTCATAAAATTCTGTAGGATTTAACACCTGATCCGAACAAACTAATCCATTATTACCAATTATATTATATTATTTTAATGGGTAAAGGTACAAATCTACCCCCGAAGTATCACGCAAGGGGTGTTAGGTATACAAAAGTGAAATGTTGCCACCAATTTATTTAAAAGGGAGTAATGTTGTCCAATTTTAACTTACCCTAAATATTAACCATTAAGTTAACTTATTATGCCTAGGTGGCATACACATGTGATACTCCAAAGATGCCATGAGAGAGTGAGAAGTCATCTCTAGAGCATTGATCATCACTAGAGCAATGAGTCCACATGTGCATGCCCTCGGGCACAATAAGTCAACTTAACAGTTAACGTTGGGGGTCTATTGAAATTGGGCAACATTGCACCTTCCTTATTTTAGCATACCCAACACTCTTCATATGATACTTTGAGGGTAGATTTGCACCTTTCCCCCATTTGATTTTGTTCACTTCAATTCGAATGAATTCAAATGATGTTTATATATGATTCTCACTTCTAACCAATCTTGACCTTTCACTGGTTCCCATGCTGCTAAACCACCATTTTTACTCTGTAAATATATGAATTTTAATGTGTATATTAGTCATTGAATTAATACACAAAGAGACAAACCACAATCATAATGTGAAAGACTTTCCTGAAGTGACAAGAGAAGATTAATGGAATCATAAAGCCTTTCTGGTTCCATTCTTCCACCCACAATCTCTTGTGGTATCATTGAGAAAAGAAGACAACACTAAAATAAAACAATGGATAGTAAAGGAAATATCATAAAAGGTGAAGATGAACAATCAAATTGACTTGTTTAATTATTGAGATATTCATCACCTTCAAAGCCTCTGCAGTACAATCAGAAACTTGCCATCCATGGTCCTGATCAGAGAAGGTCCATGCCCCTTTAGAAATGTGACGATGCATACTTTTAAAGTCACCTGAAGGGTTGTCTTTAACCTAATAAAATAATCATAACCGCTATCAATTACTTTTTTTTTTTAAAAAAAAGGAGATTTGCAACAGATTGGTGTTTCATCGAAAATCAAGTATAATCTATCACAAGTTGTGTTTGTGATGGTTTTTTGGTGGTGTTCCATCACAAAGCTGTTGGATCTATGAAATTCTTGTCACAAATTTCATGCAAAAAAATTTTCAATGTGTTTTTGACAGATTTTTGGGAAAAAAAATATTGAGCTAGACAAGCTTAAGTTAAACAAGTTTAATATTAGAATTTAAATTACAATTGATTTAAAATTATAAGAATTTAATGATTAATTTTTTCCCTAAAATATAGTAAGTCACTTTATTTATATTATAGGCTATAAATGGTGTTGCTTATGGCTTAAATCTCATGCCATGCATGGGACCCGCATTTAACAAGCTAGTCAAATACGAACATGTTTCTTGATTAAAAGGAAAGGTTGACCTGAGATTTTTTTATGAAGTCATGTCCTCTTGCAAGTGTAAGAGCAAGTTCGTCAATTAGGTCTGTGGCAAGTAAAGCTTGGATTGCAAAGCCAGCATCCCATCCTTGGCTTCCAAAACTCTGCACATAGTTAATGGAATATATCAAACCCAAACTATTGATATTTTATTAAATTTTAAAAAATGAACCTAACGATATGATATTTATTTGGAACTAAACATTGAGCATGCGAGAAGATAAAGGCATTGCTTTGATAAAATATTATTGATTTGGTTCTCTTCTTGGTTTAGTCAATAATTGTATACATGAGTAGACATGAAAAGGGTTGGGGGGGGGGGAGCAATGTCCTGTCACTTGCAAAAAAGTACATGTTACCAGATATGAAAAATTTGATTTTTTTTAATCGATAATTTCAATATTTTGACCCCACTAAGCCTAAATTTAATTAGGAGAATGATATTAAAGTCCCACATAGGGGAATTAATTACTGCAAGGTCCATTAACAACTGAACTAAATTGTATTAACAACACAATTAGTTGTCAATGCAATTTAGTTCAATTATTAATGGACCTTGCAGTAATTAATTCCCTGGGACCTAACTGTAATTCTCCAAATTTAATTCAAGTCTCCTCACTAACTTAAGGTCTCCTAACTGTTGGATATTTTATATCTTTTGGTATTTCAAAAGGAATTATTTTTATTAGTAATATTAATTACTATTTAAATCTATTTATTTCTCATTATTTCCCAAATTTGTTTTTTAATGGTATTAAAGTGTTAATGACTATTTTTTAATGGTATTAAAGTGTCAATGACACGTGTGATTGTCCAATGTTCATGAATTTTCCCAATGAAAGGCAATGTAAATTGCATAGTTGGACACATCATCCTAAGCTTTTTGGCACCCCCTAGTGCTTTTCCTGAATTTATTTAATTTTAGAGAGCTATTGCATTTAACCATGTGTGGTGGAATAACTCTTAAAGATAGTATCATTGAGTACGATTCGAATCAAATTTTTCACTAGTTTTCCCTACACTAGGTCCCCTACAAATTGCACAGAAAATCATAATTTCATTATTTTACATCAATATGCTTTAATTAGTTCACCTGCATGGTGATTCCATCCTCTGAAACCCATATGTAATCCGGAACCCTTGCAAGATGTTTCTTAAAGGCATCTCCATTTGGATCTTCAACCCAACAAGCAAGCATACATAAACTCTGTGACAAATATAAAAATGCATTTGAATACATATCTTAAGATCATATTTATGCGCATATCGAAATCAAATAAATCTCAACCAATCAATAGCTAAATGTGAAGTAGTTGTACCTTTTCAACACATCCATGAGTCATATATCGACTATTTTCGTCTTCATAATGAATATGTTTCATTGTTACTTGAATTGCTTTCTCTCTGACTAACTTATTGAATGGCCATCGTGTAAAAAGTGGCTCAGTTAAGAAGTATAATGCATCCCACATCATATTTTGTATCAAAGGATGGGGGTAATACAGATCTTCCTACAACGATATATAATTTATGATAATTAATCATTAACGTGTTGAGAAATCTAGCTACATGTGTGTGTGTGTATTGAAGGAAAACACAAATATCAATTCCTATAGTTTTAACTTGTTTTGGTATAAGTTCCTTTAGCTTTTTTCCATTACTTAAAATGTTTTTAGTTTATCCCGTCTTGCAATGTTGGTCCCTCTATTTTTGAATATATTTGAAAGAATGATGAGGTGATACTAATAATTAATGTTAAATATGTTGACATTTGACTAACAACATCAATCTTTGTGCTAAGCTGAATTATGATTCAACAAATTGAAACATGAAATATGAAATAGAATGGGGTGGGCAATGCTTTAAATATGTTGAATTATAATTTCACCCTAGCACAAATTAATGGGATTAGTCATAGGTCAACATATTTAATACCATTAATGCCATTTCATCATCTTTTTGGGTATATTCAAAAATAGAGGGACCAATGTTGTAAATGAGATAAACTAGAGGGACTTGCATGGAGCAACGAAAAAAGCTAGAGACCTGTATCAAAACAAATAAAAAACTATAAGGATGAATTGTTATGTTTTCTCGTATATATATAATGGTTAATTTGATACAAAACTCACCTTTGCACAAAGATGACGGGTTTTGCTCCAATTAATTTGATGGTAAGGTTCCAGATAGAGTTCTTCTCTCAATTGAAGAATAAGTGGTGTAATCGGACCCACAAATCTTTTCCCATACAAATAAGACATAGGCATGTAAACTGTTCGGCAATAGCACCACATCTTACCTGTATTATAATATTATTAATGAGACATGAATGAAATGAGATGGTAGTGATTAATTAGAAAGTGATAGTGCCTTAATCAATATGCTGAGATAAAATGTTTTGCTCTTAATTTATTATTTTTTATAAAAGATGTTTTCTTGTCCATTACAAGCTTTTTTGGTAATTTGTTGGCAAACAGATACAAGCCTGTTTGGTTTAGCATTTGGTGCTCTAAAAGTCAGACTCGGTTTTCCTTCTTCCACCCTCCCATTCTAGATTTAAATCTAGATGGTCCAGAATAATGTTTTTTTTTTTTTTTTTTTATTTTAAAATAAAAATTATGTAAATTTTAATAAATTTTTTTTATCAATCTGGATAATCTAGATTTAATACGAATAGTCCATACTAAATTCATAAAATTAAAAAATTAATATTGAACTTATCCTATTCAAAATATATCTGAAAAGTCAACTTATAAAACATTTTATATTAAATTTGGACCATTTATATTAAATATGGACAATACAAGCTGGTGAATAAATTCATTAAAAATTTTCAAATATATTTAAAATTTAATTTATAAAATATTTGATCTTAAATATGGACTATTTATATTAAATCTGGACTGTACAGACAAGTGAACAAATTTATTAAATTTTTTGATATTAAATATATCTGAAAAGTCAACTTATAAAATATTTAATATTAAATATGGACCATTTAATTTAAATCTCAACTATATAAATAAGTAAACAAATTTATTAAAGTTTTTTAAAATTTATATAATTTTTTATTTTAAAAATTTAAAATAAAAAATATTAAATTTGGACGATTATTCTGCTTCCTTCAGAGGATGGAAGGCAACTCCGTGAAACTGGAGCATAGACAAGTCACTATTGTACTTTGGCGCGTTGTCACGCCCTTGACTTAGGTGACAACATGGATGTGCTAGACGGAAGGGATTAGGGTCCCACTGCTCCAAGATGTAGCACTCGCTCAAGGAGAGTCACATGGAAGTTACGTGAGGCTATTGAGTAGGGAGGTCATATGGGGAGTGACATAATCATTAGGAAATTAAACTATGGTTGTTATGGTTGTGTATATATATATATATATCTCTCTCTCTCTCTGTGTTATCATCTTTCTGACCTCATTTCTATACCCTTCCTATGAATTCCGTTCTACTCTTTTCTGTAATTTTTATGACGGAATGTTATACTGATGAATAATACGCTTAGCAATTACCAGTAATACTCGTGCATTCCTTATTTCTGATTGTTGGTGTAACAAAAGGTGCTTCATTGAGATACACGCGCTTAGCTTCCATGGCTGAGAACAAGCGTATGAAAGATCTATCTAGTGACGTGAAGGCTCTGTCCAATGATGTTAGAGCCCTACATGAAGATTTACAGAGTTTACAGAACTTTATGGAAAAAGTGGAGGAAGCGAATGCCTCACTTCTTGACAGGTTGGAGGTGGCTTTAGGTGATCTATTATGAAACCTAAACCCAATGATCAATAAGCTAGAGGCAGCCATTGAAGCTTTAGCTAGTGCTCCAGTTCCTCGGTTCGAGAAGCTTGAAGCTCGATTGGATGCCCTGGTACATGTGGTGGAAACGTGCAATTGAAGTAGTGACCTAAGTTTGGTTGGCAGCTCCAAAACCAACTTCACTCAGCTCCAAAGTCGACTTTCCTTGTTTCGATAGCACTAACCCTTTTGGGTGGATTTTTCGTGCGGAGCAATTTTTTGCTTTCTATTAGATGTCATCCCCTCATGGACTATCCCTGTGTTTCTGATAATATGTATAACTTGCTAACTATGTATCAGCCAGTGTTTGACACCCCTCATGAATTACCACCACCCTATGAGTGTGATCTTCAAATTATTCTTCAACTAGTCTCTGAGCTAGTGAAGGTACGATCGTACCATTACCCTTGTGTCCAAAAGATAGGGATTTGTTTTTTTCCAGAAATAGATAGAATTGAATGCTCGGCAGAAGAGTTTTTAAAAAATACATTCATTGAGCCTAGTGTCAGTCTTTTTATGGAACTTGTACTCCTTGTTAAGAAGAAATAAGACGAATCTTGGCATTTTTGTGCAGATTATAAGGCATCGAACAAGGTTGCATTGAAAGACTTGTTTTGCCACGGGTCCCACATCGGGGAACCATTACTAGAAATTATGCCTTTGACATCACATTTTAAAAGAAAACCGTGGTTATAAATAAAATGGTGGCAAAAGCATAAATAAGTTGAAATATTTGATGTTGGTTATTAAATAACTGATGTCAAAGGAATTTTCCACATCGGTTATGTGACTAACTGATGTGGCAAAATTGTTTTCAACGTTTGTTACCTACTCAAAAACAAAAATAAAAAAAAATTACATTTTAAAGGATACGACATCAGTCACATAGGTAAAACGACGTCGTATAAGGCTTTCAACATCAGTTGCTACGTCAAAAACATTCAAAATTTAAAAAAATAAAAAATTATGGGATACAACGTCGGTTAAAAAGAGTAACCGATGTTGTATCCCTTAGATCTTTTAAAAAAATTTATGAGCACATGTGAAGGGAAATGATGTCCGTTACTATGTAACCAATGTCATTTCCCATTTATTTCATTTGTCCCACACGTCTCCTCCCCCATTTTTTTTTTCCTAGATTTCAAACTTTCAAACCTCTCTTCTCTGTCATCAAACTGTCCAAAGTCGATGAGCAAAACACCCTTGCCGAAATTGAGTCCAGTCGCTGTCGAAGAAGCCGTCGCCACTGCCATAGCCAATCTACTCTGCCCTCCCCCCCATTTCTTTGACATTTGAGTTCTTTAAAGGTTGGTTTTTTTCATTTATCTTTGTGAGTGAAGTTTTAATCATTGATTTGGGGCTCTCATTTACTTTATTATTTTTTCATTGTGTTCCATTGCCAGTTAATCTTCCATTTCAGTAGGTGTACTTCCTTCTTCCTCTTTCTTCCTCTTCCTCCATTGTTGGTTGTGGTTTCAAGTTGATCTTTTGAGTTGCTTTTTCATGTTCACATATTCCAAGTAAGTATTACTAATTTTTTTTATTTTTTCTTTGATTAATGAAAATTTTATTGGCTGGTTATATTTTTTTTCTATTTTTCTATATTGCTGTTTCTATTTTTTTATAATTAATAAAAAAATTTTCTTTGTCTGAAATGATTTTAGATAGAGGAATTAATTTCTTTTATGATGAATATTGTTGGATAGAGGAATGAAATTTGTAGTTGTTTAGATGAATTGAATTTGTTATAATGATTTTTATGCCATGATGTTGTTAGATAGTATAATGGAATTTGTACCTATTTAATAAAATTGTTATATGTTTAATTTTGTCTAGATTTACTTAAATTTTCAAATTGTTTGAGATTTGAGTTAAACTTGATTATTGTTGAAATTTTTGATATATTTATGCTTTTGTAATTTTTTTCATTTACAAATGATAATAGTGCACCTGAGACATATTATATGCTTACACTAAGGGAACGCAAGCCAAAATCATCAGTGGAATGGATTTATCCAAATGCAAGTATGAACCTCTAACTTTCATATTTTATTATTCTTTACATGTTTTGGTTTAATTTTAAATTTTCATTTATTTTAGTGTCGTAGGCAACCAGGAAGCACAGAATGTGGATATTATGTTATCCATTACATGTATGAGATAATTCAAGTTGGAAGTACTAAAAGATTACAAGAGGTATTTGATTTTGTTATTTTAGTTCAAATTCTTGTATTTAATTGCTTTAAATTATTATTCTGATTAATTTTATCATTTGATTTTTGATAATATGGAGCCTTATAATGAAAAAGAGATCAATGGCATTCAGAATATTCTGGCTCAACAACTTCTCCAAGAATACTTTTCAAAGTGATTGAATATAATTTTATAGTTTTTAGTGGTTGAACAAATGTATAATGTAGTTGTAACTTGTTGTATATTGATTGTAGTTGTGCTGGCTAGTTGTTTATAATCTATACCATTTTCATTTTTTCAGTTGTGAATGTACAGAAAATTTTGAAAAAAATTTAGAAAAAGGACTTTTAACCACAATTCTTTAAAAACCATGGTTAAAAGTCTTTTTAACTATGATTATTATAAAAAAAAAAACCATTGTTAAAAACAACTTTTAACAATGATTATACACGATAACCATAGTTAAAAAGACTTTTAACCACAATTTTTCCAAAACTGTGGTTAAAGGTCCAATTTTGGAAAAAAAATTGAATTATTTTTTTATATAGTTTCAACATCGGTTATAACTGTAATCGACGTTGAAAGTATTTTTAATGTCAGTACGTAACTAACATTAAATATTTACTTGTCGCTTCCCAATTTTTCACTTTCCCTCAATAACTGATGTTAAAAATTCAAAATAACCATTGTTAAAAGTCTGTCCTATAGTAGTCAACCTCACAAGTGGTGTGAAACATAAGTTTAAGGGACTCTTCTACCTAACAAGCTTGCCTTTTAGGATGGGTTCTCCCTTTGAGCTTATGCTTGTTACATTGGTGCTTTCATTGAGAGACCAGTTTCATGAAAAGGGCTACCCACGGAGAGTTTTGATCAATAAGAGGCCGAGTGAAGTGCATTGGAGTAAAGCTACCAAGGACATCAGCTCTTGACGGGGTGGCATTGTCATGAGTCCTACATCAGAGAGCCTCACAAGTGGTGTGAGGTTTATAATTTTAAAGGACTCTCCCACCCAACAAACTAGTTTCTTAAGATAGGCTCTCTCTTTGCGCTTATGCTCATTACACATTTCCCATCACATAATGGACTGAGCTATTATATGAACTTTATGGATCTACGTACTTTTCCAACCTTGACTTGCGAGTTGGATATCATCAGGTTCGAATGCACCCACTAGAAAGACAGCATACATACACACTAAGGGCTCTATTAATGGCTCTTTATACCTTTTGAACATACAAACACACTAGCTGCATTTCAATCTTTGATGAATTTAGTGTTTAAGCCTTATTTCTTTAAATGTATGTTGATTTTCTTTGATGACATAATAGTTTATAGTGCCACTTGGTCTCAACATTTAAAGTATGTTGAATAGGGTCTTGAAGCAATTGATGGCTAATCAACTCTTTACTAAGATGTCCAAGTGCTCATTTGGACAAACTCAAATTATTTGGGACATATATCACTATAAAAAATTTGACTTTCAGTGATGACAAAAATCATCCCTAAAAGTTGAAAAGTCACCATTAATAGTTTTTAGAGGTGACCTTTGTCACCATGAGAGATTCCATTGCTAATTCTATCTGCAGTGACAAAAAATTTACCATTAAAAGATAGTCGCCATTGAAAGTTAAGGCTGAAACTACCAATTAGTGGCAACTATTTTGTCATTGTTGAAAAAAATGATACTATTAATTGTTTGTCATATGTGGCATCACGTCACTCCTTGCATGCTTCCATGTCACCATTCGACCCCCACATGGCACCACATTGGCTCACTATGTCACTCCTTGCATGCTTCCACATCACCACACATCACATGTCATAAGAATTTGCAATTTTCACATTATGTTGGTAGGAAAATAGTACTAGTAGATTTGAAGAAGCGATCACTGCATTCCTACCACGGAGGTTGAAAGTAATGCTTATTTTCTTATGGCAATATTTTATATATACCTATATTTTAATCAATTATATCATATAATAATATGTCGAACCTATTCTACACCTCAAAAAATTGAGATTAGATATATAACACTAGATGCAAATTTCAGCTGGACCGATTTTCTTTCATACTATGTTTGGATATATATAGATTTGGATTTGAGCCAAATCCATTGTTTGAATAATTAAAAATGAATGGATTTAGATTTAACCCAAATCTAAATTCAAGTTCTCCCTTAATCTCTTTGTAATTTGAAACCCTCTCTAAATCCCTATTATTTCAAATCCTAACTCAAGCTCTTTTGTAATTTGACTCAAATACATAAAGGCTTTATTGATCTACTAATGTTAATTGCACCAAACCACTGAAGTTAACAGAAACAAGTAGCCACCATTGAGCGAGACGAGACGACTGACTTCAATCGGGACCAAACTGACAGCGATGACGGGGACCGAACAGCTAACTTCTATCAGGATAGGACTAATAATGACGACAGGCACCTGACGGCTAACTTCCATTTGGACCAAACTCACGGTGACAACGGGCATCTGACAACTGACTTCCACTGGGACCGAACTGATGATGATGACAGGGACTGGATGGCTAACTTCAACTGATACTGAATTAACAATGATGACGAGCACCTGACGGCCGACTTTCATTG